TAGTAGTAGTAGTAGTAGTAGTAGTAGTAGTAGTGGTATTAATAGTAGGAGCAGAAGTCGTAGTACTACTAGTAGTATTAGTAGTCGTAGCCGTAGCCGTCGTAGTAGCTATAGTCGTAGGAGTGGTATCATCAGAAGCAGCAGTGACAGTAGTTGTAGTAATAGCGCCTGTAATAATATCAGTTCGGGTGGCAGCCGTAGCAGTCTCGTTTTCTGTAAAACGTTATCCTTCGAATAGTGCGTGCGTGTGCCATGATCACAGATCCGGTAGCAGTGTGCAGGTCGAGCAGGGAAAGGGGGGGAGGAGGAACTGGAGGAGGAGGAGGAGGAAGTGGAGGAGGAGGAGGTGGAGCAGGAAGAGGATGAGGAGAAAGGGGAGGCAGGGAGGAGGAGGAAGAGGAGGAAAAGGATGAGGAGGAGGAAGAGGAGGAGGGGGACCATCGCACGGCTTCGGACAGGGGTTCGACTTCGCTCAGGGCGACTCGAGCGCCTGGGCTGCCTGGGCGGCAACCGCATCAATCGGGATCGGAGGCTTGACGACAACGGGGCTCGTCTTAGAGGCCCTTGGGTGCCCCCCCTCTGCAGCGCGCGCGTAGCCGCCTTCTGAAAAGTTGGACGTGCATCGCTTGAGACAACCCTTCTGGAGGCTTTTAACGGTACGCTCTGGATAACTGCCGCACAACTGACATGCGACAACGAAACTTTCAACAACAATTCAGTCGATCACTGAAGGTTTGTGGCCGTTCCGCTGCTCTGCTAGCTTGGCCAGGCGAGCAGCATTAACTTGGCACGATTCCTTGGCCCTGGGCAAGTTTACCTTATCTGACTTGCATCGCGAGTGGCAGAGACAGCAGAGCCAACGTGTTTTCTGCCACGTCCACAAATGCCCGACTCGGGCTCGTGCGCGGGCAACACGGTGGGGACGGGGAGGGGGAGAAACCGCCGCAGCTCCAGGGCCCGAACTCGACCCCCCAGAGTTCCGTCCGCTTTGCCACACTACCGCGATCGAGCGAGCACCTACAAGCGGGTTGGTTGCCTTCGCTGGGGCCTCTCCCCCCAAACCCCGGGGCAATCGAGGGTCACAGCGAAAGGGCGTTCGGCACATACCGAAGGAAGCGTTAGATTTTCTTGTCGAGCTGCTGCTGGGCATCTCTCTTTCCTTCCGAGGGCTGGGGGAGGCGCGAAGCAGCTAAGTTGGCAATTCTGTCGGCGGCGTCATTTCCCGATGCGTCCCGCCACTCATCAGAGTAGCGGTCCAGGGAATCTAAATCTTGATGGGCGTTAACTTTCGCCATTTCAAAACCCCCTGCACGACTGGCTTCTCCTAGCCTGGGCATAGCGCCAAGCCCGTCATACATATTCTTCGTAGTAGCAGGCATGCCCGAATTGTGGAAACTTGCCCCCCCTTTGAAATCGGAATGAATCTTAGCCACTCCTCTGAACTGGCCGGAAGTTAAATACGCTAGAACCTCAGCCGCAGGAGACGTGGGCCGACGGGCACAGCCTACTGGCCCACAGAGGTAGGCCCACAGAGGAGGAGGAGGGGGAGGAGGAGGAGGAGGAGGAGGAGGAGGAGGAGGAGGAGGAGGAGGAGGGACGAGAGCAGAGAGGGATGGCAGAAGGAAGAACGGGGTGGCGAGAGGGGGGGCAGGCAGCGCTTCCAGCTGACGCGGCAGCAGTACCTGCAGGACGCGCGGGGGGGGGGTCGACGGGGCGAGAGTTGGCCCAGCAGGCTCGCCAGGAGGCCCGCCAGGGCGGCCCCACAGGCCGCAGGGAGGGCGCGCCAGGACGGCGCGCCAGGACGGCCTGGGCCTGCGCAGGAGGCCCCACCAGGTGGGGACGGGTGGGGGCAGGATGCCCGAACGGGCGCCCAGGCTTGTCTTGCCCATCGCCTCGTTTGTGTTTGTGTGTGTGTGTGTGTTTCCTTGTCCGCCTCCTTTCCCCCTTCATCCCTCCTCCTCATACGCATGTTTTCTCTCCCTCCTCATTACTCTCCCTTCCCCCCCTTGACCGTGCCCCTTCCCCCCATCCAGGTGCTGAACAATAGGCTCGGTAGTACCCCTCGGTGGCTGTGGCCAACCACCACAAACCGTGAGCAAAGGTCACACAACCCCCCTCTCTCCCTCCTCGCTTATCCTCCCACCTCTCTCCCTCCTCTTCCCTTTCTTTCCCGCACTCGTCCATCCCTCTCCCCTTGATCCCCTCCCCCTTGATCCCGCATTACCACTCCACAAGTTCTAAGCATCAGCCTTCGACGAATTCGTCCGAGCAGGCGGCCAATCCAATCCCTCGCTGCCCTCCCTCGGCTCGCACAGGATGTCCAGCAGCACTACTCCGCCGCCAGGATACAGAGCCAGGCAGGGACTCCCCCACGCCGCCGCTTCCGCAAGTGTGCCGTGCGTGCCTGGACGTCTGCTCCCTGCCCTCTTCTCCTCTCTCGTCCTGCCCCCCCACCCTCTGATCCTGCTTCTTTGTCCGCGGTCACTCGTCCCTTTCTCCCCCTCCCATTCGCCTCCTCGCTCATCTTCCCTTCTTCATCCCTTCTCTTTCATCCTTCTCCCTCGACCCGTCTCTCCTCCTCCCCTCGCGCCACTCCTGCCCTACTCCCTCCTTCACCCCTCCCTTCTGCTGATGCTCACCCTCCTCCTGTTCCTCCTGTTCCTCCTCCTCCTCCTCCTCCTTCTCCTCCTCCTCCTCCTCCTCTCCTCCTCCTCCTCCTCCTCTTCCTCCTCCTCCTTCTCCTCCTCCTCCTCCTTCTCCTCCTCCTCCTCCTCTTCCTCCTGGTCTCCTCAGTCCCGCCTCGCCCTCGCTTCTCGGTCAGCACGGACTGCTCCCTCCCCTCCCCCCCCTCCTCCCCCCCTCCATCCTTCCCCCCCATCCCTGCTGATGTGATGCTCCCTCTCCTCCTCCGTCTCCTCCTCCTGCTTCTCCTCCTCCTCCTCCTCCTCCTGCCTCTCCTCCTCCTTCTGGTCTCCCTCCCTCCTCTCCTCCCGAGCCGCCGCGCCCAGCGGGCGACGGCTCCGACGAGCCGTGCCCTGCATCTTTCTCGCATCCTATCCTTCGCTTTCTGCTTCTCTCCCTCCCCCTCTACAGTCAAAAACCCTAATAAGGACGCGCGACTTCGCTCAGGGTACCCTTGCGTCTTTGCTCTTCTTTGCTCTTGCGTCCTTGGGGTGTTCGTCGTCCGCCGCCCCATGAATCCCAACTTCGGCTTCCAAGGGTCTTGCGTCCTTACCGCGCGTCCTTATTCGGGTTTTTGACTGTATCCTTCGCTTTCTGCTTCTCCCTCCCCCTCTAGGGTGCAACCCCTGGGAGGTGAAATCCAGCATCGGGGCTGGCGCATCCGCTGTCGAGGACTGGCCCAGTCCGGGATGCTCCTGGGCATGGTCCGCTCAATCCCGTGGAGGCCAGCTGAGTCCAGGGTCATTGATCTAGGCAAATTTGGATTGATGGTTTTAGAATCGGGCCGATTGGCTCTGATTCGGTTTTGCGAAGACCTCCCAGGAGATGCCTCAATACTCCTCCCTGCGGCCTCCCGGTGTCCCAGTTTAACCGGTCCCATCCCCATTGGGCCGTGGTGTCTCAGTCCTACCATCCTCCAACATCCATCCTCGATCCTCGCTCGTCGAACCTCCAACCTCGAGCCTCGCTCCTCGAACCTCGAGCCCACATCCTCGATCCTGGATCCTCGGAATTCTGAGCTTGATTGTCGATCTCCGCGATGTTGGTGACAGGCCACGCGAGACCCGAAGGCAACACAACATATTCCCATCTAGCGGGGGATGTAGCGGCCAGTGGGGCCAAGGCCACGCCAGTGCGGATAAGCATTACGATGCGCTCCCGGCGCCAGGCCATCCCCCCCGCTCCCGCGGCCGCCGCCGCCGCAGGTGCGCCCGAAGGCCGCCTGCAGGAGGGTGGAGGGCACTGCATGGGGCACGGAAGCTGCGCGCTTCTCTCCGCCCTCCCCCCCCACCCCACTCCTCGCCCCCGGGGAGGCAGCGCCCCGCCCTCCCGCCCTCCCGCCGCCACCAGGTGCGCCGGAAGGCCGCCTCCAGGCGGGTGGAGGGCATGAAGGCCGACAGGCGGCGCCAGCCCGCCGTCCGCCCCTGCGCCCCTGGCGCGGTCTGGCCGGCCCTTCGGTCGCGGGCCCTTCGGGCGGCTGCCGCCGCGGGTGGCCGGCGGCCGCCGCCTGCCGCGGCCTCTGGGCGGCCCTTCGGCGGCCGCTGGAGGTTCGAGGGTTTCGGGGCGTGCTTGTCGGTTCCTGGAGGTTCGGGGGTTCGAGGTCTTCGGGTTGGGGGTCAGGGTGCTCGGCTTTTGGTCGTTTTCGGGCTCGGTGTTCCAGGCTTTCGGGGGTCTTCGCCGGTTCTAGACGGCTCTCCAGCCTCGAGATGCCTTCTAGCAGCTGCGCCTGGCCGAGAGCGTTCCAGGGGTGCCCGGATCTTCCCGAACGGCCGCGGCAGACCCAAACTCGGCGCCAAGTACCAGAGGAGGTAGAGATACCGATGCCGCTGCTCGTCCTGAAGCACCCTCGTCGCCACGGCTGGGTGCTCCTGAGATTCTGGCCAGAACGCTTCCCGATAGGGGTCCGTGGAGAAGCGGTATAGGTGAGAAAGAGCGCGTTCTGTGGTCGCTTGGAGGAGGGGGAGGTTTGGAATGGGACCTCCCCCCTGGATGCAGGGGGGGGGGGGGGGTCGAACCCCACCCCCCACTCTCATGACGGAGGAGGGGGGCTCGAACCCCCCCACCCAACTTTCCTCCCCTACTTCTCCTCTATCCTTCTCATCGGGCCAGCGCCTGCGTCGGCGGCGGCTGGCGGCGGCGGCGGCGAGGACGGCGATTTCCCTTTCTGGGCTGGCGCCGGCGCCTGCGGCGGCGGGCAGCGGCGGCGGGGAGCGTCGACGAGGACCATGGTGGTGGTGGTGGGTTGTGGGTTGTGGTGGTGGTGGCGGTGGTGGTGGTTGTGGTGGTGGTGGTGTGGTGGTTAGTAGGATTGATTGGCTGCCAGGCAGCAATGGGCATTCTGCTACGCCTCAACGTGCCAGGAGGCACGGTGGCGGTGGCGGATTGGCTCCCCCATGAGCGACCTTCGGCGGCCCTCGGTGGCAGCGTCGCCGTCGTGATCCGTCGTCGACGTCGCCACTCGTCGTCGGAAGCGTAGGAGGATGAGGACGGGGAGTACGAGAAGGAGGGTGGAGGAGGAGGAGGAGGAGAGGAGGAGGAGGAGGAGGAGAGGAGGAGGCGGTAGGAGGAGGAGGAGGAGGAGGAGGAGGAGGAGGAGAGGAGGGAGGAGGGGGAGGAGGAGGAGGAGGAGCAGGAGGAGGAGGAGGAGGGAGGAGGAGCAGGAGGGGGAAGGAGGAGGAGGAGGAGGAGGAGGAGGAGGAGGAGGAGGAGGAGAAGGAGGAAGGAGGAGGAAGAGGAGGAGGAAGAGTAGGAGGATGAGGAGGAGGGGGACGGGGACGGGGACGAGGACGAAGACGATGAGGAGGATGTGGACGAGGAGGAGAGGGGGTAGTTGGGGGAGTCATGAGGAGGAACAGCATGAAAATGAAGGAGCATGAGGAGCAGGAGGAGGGAAGAGAAGGAGGTGACGAGATTAGGGAGGAAGAGAGTGACGGAATAGGAATCGAACTGTGGAAGTCGCAGACCGACAACAGAGACACATGGTGACGCACGCAGAAATGTCGGGCGCAAAGCCTGTCACTCGGTGCAATACCCGGACCGGCAAAGAAGACCGTGCAGCCACAAGCACCAGGGATTGCACACGAGGAGCCTCGTAAGGTGTAGATTGTCACAGTCGAGATGTGCGCTGCAGCAGCAGATCACGCGCACCAAGGTACCATATCGAATACGACAACTCTTCCAGAGCATGGCACTGTTCAACCCCAACAGGTAGCAACCCCCAAAGCGAAGCTCATGGTGATACAGTGCGGAAGACTGCGGAAAGTCACACGTGGATGGAGAGCCCACCACAGCGACATCATGCACCACAGTAAGACACAACACCATCTCCGGAGACATACATCCGAGCAGCGCACACTCACAGAGCAACGAATAACTTGGAGCCAGCCTTTGCCAGAGAACTTATGCACGCACATTGACTCCCAACCGTCGAAAATCTTGCGGTACGTTTAGGCCGCCTGGAGAAGCTTCTGGGTGGAGTGGAAGTTCTCGGCCCCTCCTACTTGTACCGAACTTTGGCCTTGGACGGACCTTGCCGACGATGAGCAGGAAGCAGAATCGCAGTGGAACTCATAATCTGCCTAGTCTCGCAAGCGCACACCAGGCGGAAGGAAGTACAATTTCCCCAGCCGTGGAGCTTCGCGACTGTCGTCGCTCACTCACCCCCAGGCGCTGCGTGGAAGCAGATGGCGTGACCCGAGGCTCGCTCACCACAGGCCGATACGCCCTCGGAGCCTGAGGGGTGGGGGAGGGAGGAGGATTGCACGCCACTGAAGGGGAATAGAGATATGGTCGGATCCGCGGGGGAGCTCCTGGCTGCAGCCTATGGAGCTGTACCAGTGATGCAGGCTGCCTGTCCTGATCACCCACCGAGCTGGGACTTGGACGAAGTTTCCTTGCTGCTCGGGGCGTCTGGCATCGACAGACGCTTCCATGGAATACAGTATAGCACAAAGGGGAATAGAGAATAGAGATAGAGAGAGAGGGGTCGTCCAGACACCTTGCGAGGGTCCATCGAAGGTGACCCTTGAAGTCACCGCGGGAGGCTGGGACAAGGCCGCCCGCGGGCCAGCGACAGAACCCCCCTGGGAGAAAAGGTCGTCATGCCCTTCAGGATCGAGCTTTCGACGGGAAGGAGGGAGGAGAAGGAGGAGGAGGAGGAGGGGAAGGGGAAGGGGGGACGAGCAGGGAGATCAGGATGGGGGCCCAGACCTCTTCGAGTTCAAACGGCTGACTAGCAGAGCGGCATGTCTTCTGGAGTCTGGTCTGGGCATCTGGACACCCTTTGTTTGTACTCCGAGGCCCGACAGGCATCAGCCGCGGCGCGGAATCCATGCGAATTATGGGGCCGAGAGCCTTGGAGCTCTACGTGCTGAAGATGATGGCGTCGGAGGTCTGGAGGGGGAGCAGCAACAGCGGGGAGGGAGAGGAATAGCAGGAAGAGGACGCTGAGGAGGAGAACAATGGATGGCGGCGTCAGTACGACCCGAGCGCTACTGGCTGCTAGCTCATAGGAGGAGGAAGGCGCATGAGGAGCAGTACAAGGAGCCAGAGGAGGAGGATGCGGCGGAGGAGGAGGGACGTGAGGAGAAGGAGGAGAGCCGAGGAGGGGAGAGCTTACCCCTTGCCGTCGCTGCGGCCGGAAGCGCCGCTGGAGAGACCGCCGAGGACAGCGACGTCGCAGGCGGCGAGGACGGCGGCGCCGTCGCCGCCGCCGCGCGCCCGCGCGGCGCCGAGCCGCGGCGCCGAGAGGCGGCGCCAGATGGACGACGCCGCGACCCTGCTGCGGAAGATGTGGCTCGGCTACCGGTCGCGGAGGAGGCGAGGGGCCCCGCCTGCGCGTGGCGGGCGGCAGCGGGGGGGGGGGCGGGTCCGGAGTTTCGAGGGTTTTCGGACGGTCTCGGACGCACTCGGGGGTCTTGAGAGTTCTCGGTGGTTCTCGGCAGTTTTCTGGAGTTTCCGCAGTCGGGGGCGGTCACCGTCCAGTGCGCTGTGCCGAGAAGGTTCCGGGGGGGCCATGAGCGTCCCGAGGGGCCGCCAGGGAGCCGAGGTAGGGCCCGAAAGCCAGGGGGCCTGCCAGATTCAGAGGACGGCAGAGTTGAGGCAACCTTGGCATCGCTCGGACGTGTGCATTTTTTTCTTGGCGAGGACCATCGAGGACAATCCTGGACCATCGAGCAAAAAAAACACGCACGAAGCCGACCCGTGCACGGGGAATGGACGTCCGAGCGACGGCAAACAATGGTGGTTTGCCTTCCGGGCGGAGGCCCTTCGTCACCACGGCCGGACATAGTTCGGAGAACAGGTGCGGTTGGACTCCGGGAGGGGTCCGGAGTTTGATTTCCGTGGGCCCAGAGGGCGCATGTTTCTTCGCCCCACGTGTAAGTCCCGCCCCCCCCCATCACACACTTTTTTTGCATCGGCGGCTAGGCGGAGTAACTGCGCTGGCGATGAGCTACTTAAGACCCCCATCGCACACGAGCCTTCTCGCGGCGGCGTCAACGCCGCGGTCATCGGCGGTCGTCGCGCGCGGTCGCTGTCGCCGTCGGTCGCGGCATTGGCGTGGCCGCGCTTGGCGGCGCAGACGCGTTGGGTTTGTCGTCGTCGTCGTCGTCGTCGTCGTCGTCGTCGTCGTCGTCGTCGTCGTCGTCGTCACCATCGTGGTCGTGGGGTGTAGGCGCCGACGCAGGCCCCAGGTGAGGGAGGCAGGAGGGGTAGGGGGATGGAGAGTGGAAGAGCAACAAGACGAGGGAGACGGAAGGAATGGACGATGCGGAGGGGGGGGAGGAGGAGGAGGAGGAGGAGGAGGAGGAGGAGGAGGAGGAGGAGGAGGAGGAGGAGGAGGAGGAGGAGGAGGCGGACACGGAGGAAGGAGGAAGGAGAAACACGAATGAAGAACGAGGATGGAGCCATGGTGATGGTGGTGGCGGTGGTGACGACGATGACGTTGACGGTGACGACGGCGATGATGATGACCATGACGATGACGATTATGATGACGACGATGATGACGATGATGATGGTGATGATGATGGTGATGATGATGATTCTGATTTCGGTGATGTTCGTGGTGATGAAGGTGATGATGCTGACGACGATTTTGCTGCTGCTGCTGACGATGATGATGATGATGATGATGATGATGATGATGATGATGATGATGATGATCATGGTGTTGATGGTTGTGATGCTGATGATGCTGCGGATAATGATGATGATGATGATGATGATGATGATGATGATGATGATGATGATGATGATGATGATGATGATGATGATGATGAGGAGGATGAGGATGATGATGATGATGATGATGATGATGATGATGATGATGATGGTGTTGTTGATGATGGTGATCGTCTCCGCGAGCTCGAGCCCGCGGGGGCGCGGTTCAGAGCCATGTGCGTCGCCAGCGATCGTTGGAGGCGTACGCCGATGGGCGTGGCGAGGGGCTATGGCGCCGTCTCACCTGTTGCAGCTGATAGACTTCAGCTCGCTTTATGCGTCCACGACGGTGCGATCGGCGGAGCTGGCCTTTGCAACTCAACCTGCTGATGCACAGATGCTGGTGGGCACGGCGGCGGCATACGGAGGAGGGAGTGGCATCTTGCGACAGAGGGTAGAAGTGAGACTCACGGTGGAAGCGGGGTCTTCACTTCGGCCGTACACGGATCGGCATGTTGGCTGTGCGATCGTGTTGGGGTTTGGAAAACAGGACAAGCACATACGACGCACGTGGGAGTCGCCTCATGGAGCAGGAGGTCGTGCGTTTGCACTACGAGTAAAGAGGGGGCGCATGGACTCCACAGCAGGGAAGCGCATGATCCTCAAGGTTTGTAGAGCACGGCGGCGTCCCGGGTTCAGACGGCATAGGAACATGATACCAGCTGGGCTCGCCCTGAAGGCAGTAGAGGACACACCCTAGCACCTCGTCTTGCAGGGGACGGGCACTTTCCTGGACCATCCCGAGCCGAGGGGCGGTTGGCGCCTCGGCTCTGTGGACGGTCCAGGGGGTGCCCTCTTGGCCGATCCCCGCTTCAGGCGAGTAGGATGGGGTGCGGGGGTCTGGGCTCTCGGCGCTCTCAAAGGGGATGTCGTCGGGGCTCAGACTATCAACCGAGCGGAGCTCAAAGGCGCTATAGAGCTCCTCCACCACGCCCAAGGGGGTCTCTTGGTGGTTGTAGATTCGGCGTGCCTCGTTAGGGGCCACCACAAGGGACCCCGTAGGATAACGCCCACCAACAGGAGGCTCGGGCTTGAGTATTGGCGCGTCTTGGGGCCTCGTGAGGGCCAAATACAATACCTCATGGTGACGAGTCATGCCACCGACCTCGAGGTCCGCGCCCGTTTTCCAGCCTGGACCTTGTTTGCCAATGGCCCGGCGGATCGGCTCGCAAGCGAAGCCGCCGCCCGCGCTGCAGTGCCCGAGGATCTAGCCCAGAGGATGCTGGCCCTCGACACCCTTGCGGCTCAGATACAGGGGCGTTTGTCAGCGCTCCAGATGCTATGGTGGACGCATTTTCCAGTTTTGGGGAGGCCGCCGAAACCAAACGGGCTCGGCGGCGCGAACGTAGCAATAAGGCATGCTTCTTCTATTCTCTGTGAGCAAGCTCCTGCTGTCTCCGCAGCTTCTCAGCCCAAGTGCCCCCCCGTCGGCCGCGCGTGCGGACGCCTTATGCAGGCGCTCGCACAAGCGGCTCTCGGAGGCGCTGGGGAGATCTTCTTCAGGGGGCTGCGGGCCGCGCTCTACGAGCGGCTCGTGTCTGCCCCTTTCTCTGTTCTTCAGGACCCAGGGCCTCCTGCGCCGGCCTGGTCCATCCAGCAGGCGGACTCGTCCGAGGGTGAGGGGGCTTTCTGCCCCCTCCCTTCGGCGGGTTCCGCCTGCCCCACCGTCTGCCTCGGGCTGGCGGTGGATCTGAGCGGCGGGGTTTCGCCCTGGCTGCTCAGCACGGTCGTCGCCCTCCTTGGGGTGACGGCCGCGTGCAGCGCCTGCGCAGGCTGCTGCATCGGGCTGCTGGGCCCGTACGCGTGGCGGAGGCTCAGGGCCTCCGCCTGGCCGCGCGGAGCGGTTCCTGCCCCCTTTGAGCAGGACCGCCGTGCGGCGCGAGCGCTGGCTTACGGGGTTCCGCCGCGGCCCTGAGCGCTCGTGCGGGCAGACGCCCAGCATTCAGGGAGCAGCTCCCTCGGCTGCGCCCATTGATGGCCGAGCTGCCACCAGTTGGCGGAGGGCCTCTATGGCCCGAGCTCTACCCATTCGCAGCTCCCACGGCTCGCAGCTACGCACGTTGGCGTTTAGACGACGGCGACACCAGCTGGGCAGCTATCCCCCTCGCGTCTCGAGAAGGGGGCATCCTCCTGGCCCTGCCTGGCGCCTTTCGCTCTACGGCGGAGCTCGAGGCTGCCGAGGCGGGGGGTTTTGCGGGGATGATAGGCCCCTTCCAGCTAGTGGACGCCCAGCTCCAGGGGGCCGCTTCGCGGCCGCTCGCCACTACTGCCTCCGTCCTCGTCGTGGATATCGAGGTTGCAGAGCTCGAGCTCGAGTCGCTTTACCCTCTAGAGGTCGGCGAGGACGCGGCCATCGTCCCCTTCGCCGAGGTGCGGGGCCGCGTCTATTGGCCACACCCTTCAGGGGTTCGGGTGCTTCGCGAGGGTTACGCACGCTTGCACGGCGCCCCGCCTACCGCAGGGGAGGAGCCGCTCCCAGGGGCCGATCGGGCTACTCCCTATCACTCTGCCGACGAGATGGAAGAGCCCGAAGGGTTCGCGGCCGACGAGGACGCCGAACGCCCGGCCCCAAGTGCGCGATCTCCCGCGGACGCTGGAGCGCTTCGCGGCCCGCCCCCGAAGCGCACGGGCGCAGCCGCGCCGCCGCGGGTCGCGGGCCCCGCTTCGATCGCTCCTGGTGCCCCTGCGGCGGCTCTGGACGACGGGGCTCCTATGACCCGTGCCGAAGTAGCTGCCGAAATGCGCGCTTTGCTTGCAGCCCACGCAGCCTCCACGATGGTCGGCCGACCCGAATCGCTGGGCCCCGAGCCGCCTGCTCGGAGCGATCGGCCCGAGGTGCCTCAGCTCTTCAGCGACGAAGCGGTGCGCCTCGGGCTGGACCCTGCGGGGATCGAGGCCGTCCTGTCCCACGCGCCCGTGGCCCCGCAGCGGGTCTCCGCGCGTCCCAAGGGTCCGACCTCCGCGCTGGTCTCGGCGTGGGAAAAGGCGCGCTCTCTGGCTGTCCCTCGGGCCCCTTCGTCGGGCTTCGGAACGATGGGCCCTCCGCCGCCACCTGGGTTAGCCCATCCCGCTGCGGTCGACGGCTTTGCCGAGGCGGGCGGCGCCGACGGGTTAGAGCCGCCCCATACGGCCAATCCGACGGACTTCAGCCTCATGCTACAGTGCCTGCACCAGTCCCTCCTTCTGCAGCAGGGGCGGGGCCATCGTCCAACCGTCCATCCGCTGCTGGGGACCCTGAGCGACTCAGCTCAATCTCCGCCCGCGAGCTCGGGCGAGCCCGCGCCCGTATCGGCTCAGATGGGGGGCATTGCTCGGAGGCGCGAGTGGCAGCAAGCGCTGATACAGCACGGCCCCGACGTGCGAGGGCTGATGAAGGAGAATCTGGCTCGCGTCCTAGGCGTGGAAGTCAGCGCCGTGACCCCCATGGCCATGCATCAGTACTTTCGGGAGCACAGTCCGTTGGGGGCTCAGCCGACGACGCACGAGTTGCTGACGCATTTCGCCTTTCTCAGCGCCGAGCTGTGGCGGGCCTGCGAAGAGGGCAATCCCGAGAGAGTCCAGACTCTACTGACGTGTCAGTGCATGTTCATCGACCA